TCTGCAATGCGAAATATCCCATAAAACTAATGCATCATGCCAACAGATGCACGACCATTTGCTAGTGGCATAAGAAAACGTATTTCCATGCCGGGAATCAAACACGGGCCGGGTGGAGTGAAAGCCAGGATTCCTAATAACAAGTCGACATGGGATACACCACTGTCCAATACTTGCTATGCTGCCCTGCAATGCGAAATATCCCAGATAATTAATGCATCATGCCAACAGATGCACGACCGTTTGCTAGTGGCATAAGAAACCGTATTCCCATGCCGGGAATCGAACCCGGGCCGCGTGGGTGAAGGCCAGGATTCCTAATAACAAGTCCACATGGGATACACCACTTATAGAGAACATTCTTTACGAATATTGGAATGTTCTCTATGTAAATCAATTATAACATTTCCAAACAGTTCAAATGCTTCTCCTATGACCTTTTCTCCATTACGATCTGATAACCCTTCCAAACATTTCAAATGCTTCTCCCATGATCTTTTCTCTATGACGATCTGATAGCCGTATGTCTAACATTTCGCTGGCGCCTATCTCGTAAGATATCTGCACTTGCGGTCCTAGGCTTTGAATATCGCCCTATCAGATCGCAAGGCTTGTGAAATGCTTCCAGCACCCGTCTTTTTGCCTACTGTAGCCCAACTCCGCCTACTGTAATCTGACTCCGCCCAGCGCAAAGGTATATAAACGGCTCCACGGTTAGCTAGCTCATGTCACAGCAATGCTGCCCAAGTCACCGCATTCGTGCGTCATGTAGTAAAAGTGTTATGCCAATCTCTTCACTCACAAGCAACCTGAACACCAGTGATCAGGCTGCGCCTACTCATAACCAGTATCATTGTTACATTAATTGTAGAGTTGTATTGTTATGATTGTTGTATAATTATGATAAACGGTTTAATTACCCAAATTTGAGGTTTCCGGCATTGTGACTACCATTTACAAGAGGTCCCGCGTGGCATACACAAAGGCGAGCAGCAAATTCCGACCGAATCATCTTAACTACTTGGTATTGCTATATAATCTAGCCGTCCCACCATAAGGCCTGTAGTGAAGTGAGGCTAACAATGAGGCAATGGCATTCAAACATTATTATACTATTAACACAATATTAACAATAATAATGAGATTACAATGAAGTAGCCCTTGCTTAGCCGTAAGCGATGCCGCGCCGCGCCGCGTCTATTCGCGGCCGGAGCGGCGGCTGAGGGAGACAGTTTGCTGGGGGCGGAGGGAGGAGACTGTATGCCGCGGAGAGGGAGACAGTATGCTGAGGTGGTGAGGGTTACAGACTGGCCGTGTTTCGGCCAAGCTAAGGTTTCAACATTATAGCGATGAGGAGCATTCTAGTGGATCGATGAGGACTGTAGGTTACATGAGCGTTGACGGTGCTATGGAGAGTGAATGATGAGTCTAGGTTGCCTAAGGGTCAACGGCCAGTATGATAAATGGCTACAAAACTGATAAGTCTATAGCGGCTTAGCAGAATACATAGCATAAGTTGGCCGCTTAGCGGCATTGTACACATTGCGTATACATTGTGGGAGGAATGGTATATACCACCGATGGCGTTGCAAACAGAACACATTTGGAAACACCCGCTACTACTGACATCGCACCGTAGACAAGCTGAGAAACGAGATACAATAATCTGCTGATTACTGAAGGTTGAATGTGAATGTGTGAATGAATGTGATTGAAGGAGAATAAATGAGTATGACAAAGAATGAGTTGAGGGTGATCGAGGATGTGGTTGTGAGGAGCGGATTATCTGCGCTACCGATAGGGGGTAAGGTGAGTGATGGCATCTCTCCGCCGTCGAAGGCACCTAGCTTATATCGGCTGCGGGAGCCGCGTGCTGTACCTAATTGCCTGAAACATCAAACATCATTAGCTTCGTTGTTTCGCAAGGAAGTAGTAAACTGTTCCACTGTTACGCCTCCTTCGGATAAGCCATCGTTGGTATGCTACTGAAGTCAAACCTGAATCGCTATTGTGCCTGGAATATTGAACATAATTGATCCTTAATACTGAAACATACAGTAGTAGAAAGATACAAATATATATAGAAAGAAATAGAAACTATTCTGGGAATAGTTGCTATAGTGCCTGAATTCGCCCTCGTAAATATGGAAGGCATGTGCCAAATCGGCACAGCAGAAACATGGGGTCCATCCGCTAGGTTCACCTGCGTTACTCGCATGCGTACCTCATTCCTTAGGCAAGATCAACACTAAGCGCTTTGCTTTTAAAAATTATTCCAGCAATGATCCAACGCAGATCAAATTCAGCGCCTTATGTACAACAAGCTGGCTTTTGTTATTAATATATGGATATTCTTCTTTTCGGTCTACTCACGCTGAGAGAAACGCGAAGCAAGGGCCTCCGAGGTGAAGGGTGTAATGCGTAAGCCCCCTGAAATCGTGGCTTGCTCTGGCCTGCGGTCCAAGTTTTGCGAATAACTCGGCATCGTTGTGGTTGTATCTCACATCAAGACTTGGCGTGAAAAAATATATTAGGCAGCAAAATTAAAAGCTAGCATTATATGATTACAATCATACTTTTGCGACATATTCATACTTACTTAATTAAAAACAGACAAGCTATTAAAATGAGTTATCGTGGGGAGCGAAAACACATATTGGCGCAACTGGATAGCTTAGCTTATTCATATAGACCACATTGGAGGCGGAAATCGATTAAGACCAGTCCTGTATTAAACAGCACCGCTGAGTGAAGTCACTAATTCGAGCGATGCTCCCTCCACTTGTTTGGACTCGATTAGACAACGAACACAACATCGCGAGGAAGACCACCTGTGGATCACCATCGACTCGCATCAATTCGGCTTTTTGGAAGACGAAAACGTTGAAACGTTACTCGAATAAACTGTTTTTATATTAATCTCTTGTTAGTTTAATAATCCAAGAAATAGCTATAGCTTAGTATAGTTCAATAAAGATTTTCAAATGTTCATTTTTTATAGCAAAAGCTCTCTGCGGATCGTCGTCCGTGATCGAACTTTTACTTGGCACTTTCCTTTAAATGTCATAAAAAAAAGATCTTAGTGTTGGGCAATCTCTGAGGGATGCGCCATGCATTGGACTTCATTAAGCATCGTTTGGAGGTCGTTGAATGTATATGTGGCCTTTACAATGACTCCCGGTCGCCTACCGATGTATCGAGCCAGTGCAGATATCCTCCTAGACAAGTCTGATACCAATTTGCCGACCTCGAAGTGATGGAAGGCTTGGTGGGCCATAGGTGGCGAAATCGATTCCACGCGTGTGTTGCGGACCACCTTCGACCACGGCGCCAGCACGCGCTCCTTTAAATATCATATCCACCATGATTCAATGGTTCTACGTCTCATAGTTGTAATGCTGTGCATTTCCTGCTGTCGAACAGCGGTAGACAGCAAAAATTTCTAGTTTGCTTAAGCTATTAAGGTGCTCTAGATTTTATATCGAGCCTAGTGACTTTGGCCATTCTAAAATAAAATTAGCTTCGTATAGCGAAGCATCTTCAATCCACAAGAATGGGTTATTTGGGTACCGCCGACCTGACAGTGGTGCATGGCTAGATGCACATGACTGGTGAGAGCAAGAGAGTATGAGATACTTCTAGTAAAAGTTTTCAGGTACCCAAATAGTCTATCGATCCGCATGGATCGTGTTCTACCCTGCAGCTATTGTATAATGGCTCGGCATCAATCATTTCATATATGCTGTACTAGCATGAAATCTCACAGAGTATCCTCTTTCGTGCCGTCTTATGCACTAGTTTTTGGTAAGTAGGAAAATAATATAGAAAATCTAATTGAATTCTGGTTCTATTATTCTTTACGAAGTTCTATCTTGGTTTGTCTTTTCTGAAATTTATTTCCCGCGACGATAAAGTCGTGTCTGAGTACTACGTCATCCTAGAACGGATGACTTAAGTGTCCAAGGAAAGGATTAAATACGGTAAGTAATAAACGTATAGAAAATAGGGGCAGTGTGGCGCAATGCTCAGAGGTGCCCTGCAAAAGGTACATGGGTTCGATCCCCACACCCGTCGCTCACCAAGCCTTCCATCCCTCCAGGGTCGGCAAATTGGTACTAGGCTTGTGTGGGAGGATAGTAGCATTGGCTTGATACATCAGTAAACCACCGTGAATCATTTTAAAGCTCAAATATGCATTCAATCACCTCCAAACAATGCTTAATGAGGCTGAATGCATGGCACATGCCTCAGGGACTGATCAACGTCGACAGCTTTATTCGTTTTTATACAATATACGTTAACTCAGGATAGGAAGGTTTTGCCAATTACGCTGCTACAAAAACAAAATGAAGCCAACACAAGTCAAACAAAGTACTTATCGAAATCAATGTTTACATAAACTTCTGAGACCACTTTTTTGGAATGATGCACTTTTGCCACAATATCGCAGTCAGGAGCGAAGTAGAACATGAATAATAGAGCAACTCAACTACAAAACTCATCGAAAGTGGTGAGCAATTGTGTAGAAATGAACGACATGTGAATAACGGAATAATACTTATAAAAATGAGAACATGAGAACCTACAGCAGAATCAGTTACAAGTTAAGCAAGGAAAAATGTTGAAGATTAAGAATGACGCATTTATCTACGGAAATTTGGCGATGGGATTGTAATAAAACGGAAGCACGTGGAAAACGTATTTTCAGTTATCACTTACACAGGTATTGATCATCAATATTGAAACACCAAATAGGAGCATCAAATTATTCAACAGCAGCGCATTTCTATCACAAAGGGAGCTTAGTTTTGATATGGATCAGTGAATGACAACTCCAAATGACGATCAGAGCCGACAGAACCAAGCAGCAAATGGAAGCAGAGACCACGGATGAGACGAACCACGTCTCCGACATGCAAACCAAATCAAGATCTTGTGCACTAAACGAACGTTATTATGTTACAGCAAAAGGAACATATTTCAACCCAAAAAAAACGCATACCACACCTCGCAGATACATACACGCATATATATATATATATATATATATATACCCATATACACAAATCGCACAATACACGCATGTACAGATGCGCCTGCAATCGACGTATGCACACATATCGGCTCTCAAACGCAGATATTGTTTATATATATATATATATATATATGTATTTATATATATATATGTATATATACTATTATGCATATATGTAGCTGGTATTTTTAGAACGAATATGAACTTGTACGTTTAGTTTGAAGTCTGGCCACTGCGACAACAGCATCAAATATTAGGTTGTTCAGAAATAAATGAGCGTTTTCAATTATATTATTTGAAATGTCATAAGTTACTTAAACAAAACTTTATTAATCGAAATAAAATTTATTTAAATTTACCCACTTCTGCCAACAATAAACTTTATTCATTCCAGTTGCATAAAATTCTGGAGATCTGGAAGCGATGAATTCGTTGAAGGCATTTTTGTGTTTCTCACGCAGCAAGTTGTCAAAGTGCTTGAAGAAGTGATAGTCGGTAGGCGAGAGGTCTGATGAATATGGCTAATGAGGCTATGTTTCGTAGCCTAACTCATTCAACTTCTACAGCGCTGGTTCCGCAACGTTAGACCGGGCGTTGTCGCGCAGGATTGCTCCTTTTCTGTTGAAAATTGCCAGTCATTATTGTTGCAGTCAACGGCGTATTTCGTCGATTTGTTGGCAGTACTTCTCTGTCACAGTCGTTTCACCCAGATTCAAGAAACTGTGACGAATCAGCCCGGTTGTAGACTACCAAACAGTTACTATAACCTTTTTGTGCAATCTCGGCTTTGGGAATTGCTGTGGAGCCTGATCCCAATTCAACCATTGAGCTGAACGTCGCCGGTTGTCGTACAGAATCCACTTCTCGTCGCTTATCACAGTTCGACCAAGAAAAGGGTCGTTTTTGTTGCTCAGAATAGGAGCAGATGGCCTTTCAAAACGGCGATTTTGATTATCGCTTAATTCGAGCGGCACCCACTTGGCGAGTTTTTTGTCATTCCCATGCGATTCAACTGAGTGGAAATTGTTCCCGTGCTTATAAGCTATTCTGCAGGCTCTCGAACAGATGTTCGCATGTTTGCTTCCACTAGTGCCTTCAATTCGCCTCGTCAAATTCAATGGAACGTCCGCGGCCTTGCTTATCTTCGAGGTCGAAATCACTAGATCGGAATTTCCAGAACCATGTTCGAACTGTTAATTCACAAACACTAAGGTGCCTCCTGATAACGTATAGAATTGAAACATATGGCTATAGTTTGAAATATTGCCTACCTTTGAAGCGTTTGGTTTTTCATTCGCAACTCTTCCTCCTCTCCTTTTGCCAGAACGCGAATTATGGCCGACAATGTCTCCTCGGTATGACCGTCCATGTTAGTTGAACGCTTTTTACGTCCATGAGACATAAACAGCTCATGTGTGCCGGAATCCAAACAGTTGGACTTGAATAAAAATTGTTTAGCCGCAGAAAATAAAGAGTTTTTTACGGCTTACTAGTGCAGATTAACCGCAAAATTTATTTCACTCAATCTGAAATCCTTTATGAGAAAATGAAAGTTAATTCATTACTTTGCAGTGCGATAAAAGTATGATAACTATTGCTGACCACTGGACATCCATTGGGTCCGGCACAAAACATGATCGAGCAGATAATCTGCACATCATAGGAACCGTCGAGACGGAACGCACGTAGGTCACTCTTTAGTCTATTCTTGTCGAAGTCTTGCTCCACTGGTCCAACCAAAGCAGGATAACGTGGGCAACTGTAATGGTACAATAGAATTGAATGTTATGGAGAATAACTGGGAAAACTCACGACGGTTTTTTTTTCCTAAGTTAGTGAGGATGAACAGACTTGAATGAGTTTATGAAGAAAAGGGAGGAGGATTTACAATGCAAACGTTCGAAATATCAGTCGCCGGAAAATTCAGAGCTCCACTGTTCGCGAATGAAATTGATATCACAATGTTCCTGCCAAAAAAAACTCTACCATAAAATGAACAGAATGAGATACCCGTTTTCAATGAGGGTGAATGGCACGCTGTCACCAAAACCACCCACTCGTGTTGCAGTACATTCGGTGATCATCATATTGTGCGGACCAGCTTGTTCAGAAGTAATCACAAGCATCAGTGGGTCTCCAATTGACGCCTAGAGCAGTAAGCTTGAGAGAAAATGGAACATGAAATATTTTTTGCACCGTAACCAACTACTTACTGCACGAACTAGCTTCATTTCTTTCTTGCTTAATTTAGCTTTTTATAGTACACTGGACGAATTGCCTTTCACCATATGCGTTTACCTTTCAATGTCTCATTTCGTTACACGGAGCTTTTCTATCGCACTTTTCGCTCCCAGTGAATAGCTTGTTCAATACAGATTTTGTGTGAGACGTAGCCTGTGAAAAATTGTTCTCCACACATAGTAGTTTACAAAAACCTTTTCTTGGGTCTAAACTCTTTCAGTTCATTGATCGGCAATTGGGCTGCCAGTTGACTATTATCCTGCTCCAAGGACCATGATGAATCAGTATTATTGTATGGAATGGCCGAGTATAAAAAATACCGAAAAAGCCAATTTGCAAAACAGTTTTAAAACATACAGTAAACAGCAATTTGGATAGCAAGCATAGCTTAAGCGATAGAGCACCTTATATAATTCCTTCTTCCCTCTTCTATAATTTGCTATGTTGTCAACGACTCAAGTGCTTCACTTATCAAAAAATAAGCCCCATCCAAGCGAAATTAGGCAATGTTGGTTTTGTCTTTAACATAGTATTAATATAAGACGTCAGAAAAATGTTTCTACCCACATTAGCGTAGTGTTAGACAAGTTCAACTGCTGTGTTCTCTACACAGAGTTGGAAAATAGGAAAACTCATAAACCTATTTCTCAGAAAACTCGTCTATTTATAAGTTTATTTATTCCATTAGCAAGGAATTTTCTAGGGGCATAGAAATGAAGGGAATTACTCCCTGCCAAAGAGAGAAAGATCTTACCTTGTGGAGTGGCTCTTCTAGCTGGTTAAGAATAGTGAGCTCAGCAGTGACTGGAGGTGGAGTAGCCACTTCGAGGACGGTTGTATTTTGTGAACTAAAAACGTTTTTCACAAAATATGCACTTCAGTATCTCTTGGCATGATTATCAAGCTTTGTTAATTGCTACTTCTAATACGTCAGTTTGATGAAATTCTCACTCACTTTGCTTCGTAGATAGTAGTGACCACAACTGAACCCTCTTTGGTCATCTTATCCATAGAAACATCGCATGAGACGCGATAGAAACGATCCCACTCCGTAGTAACCTTAGAAAAAAGCCATATATTCATGGAAACGCACATAATTTAGGTTGAAAAGAATTTCAGACCAATTGATCCCTACATTGGTGATGTGTCCCCTTTCTTCTTTCTTCGAATAACAAAATGACTCCTTACCTGATGGGGAAGGACTCCATCAAGAGAGACGACAACAAGGGCTTCCATTTTTCCATCCTGAAAATGCTCAACCACTATCACATCTAGTCATAACAAGTTAGCACGAACAATTGCATTCGTATACATACCCCTTTGTCTGTCTAACAATCATTCAATGCAGCGTCATTGATTCGCAAAATATTTGACAGTGAAGGGATATTACATAATTGCATATACAAAATTACTGTCACAGGTTCGATCCCAGAGCAACCCAGACTCTCTACGAGATTGGCAAATTGGTATTAGATTGTCTGGAAAGCTCCTTCCCATCGACAAAGCTAGCTAGCGGTTGCAGCGAACACCTGAGAATGCCTTAGCACGGCAATCGCAGGGTTTCAGGAGAATATAATCAACCAACACTCAACGACGTTTATGAAAAAAACTAAAATTCTACGCAATACCCCAAAGTACAGTCAAGTCATAAGGACTTCGTGAATGACCGGTTGGAGTAAATCAATCTATTGCTGAGAGTACTGGAATGCTCGCAGTATATGCGATTTTGGGTCAAGTGAAAAACGATAATAATGAGAATTAATCTTAGGCACACACTGTAAAGAGGTTCACTAGACAATTGTGGGAGGTGTCGGTTAAAGACGATAATGTTTGTAGTCACTCCATTCCAGCAACATTTGAATACGCTTATAAGACAAGCAGTAGTCACAATCTAACATCTCAGTCCAGAGCAACGTGTACAGAATTAGAGCAGGAACATTCATGAAATCTGAACTGAACACCGATGATACAATTCAGCACACTGTAACCCCTGTATTCTCCGAATTCTTCTCCTGGCTCATTTCTAACATGGTTTTTTCACAAACCTTGTCCCATTAGAGACAAGAAATCGTGTTCGTGTACAGATAGGTGGCAGGATTGATAAGTCATTAAACCAGAAGAAAATGTGGATAAGCGCGGACAGACAAGTAATCCCAGGACTTCTTGTCGCAAAGAAAACTTCGTTCACTGCATTATTAGAAGATACTGGGTAAACGTTGTAAAAAAAAAAACGAAACAACTAAGGATGCAATACAACATCTGTTGGATGATGGATACCAGCTGTCTCAAAACTTTTCGAAGGCACAGCGAACTTGTAAAACAACTCAGTGATAAGGCTGTTATTCCAATAAGTGTGAATCCACCCGAGCGAAAGAAAAATCGCCCTAATTCGCTGAATTTAACGCTCTGCAAAGAAAACGGAATCTAGTGAATGCGGTTATCACATTATTGTACCAAACGTGTAAGTACAATAGTCAGCACGAAATTGACTAACGAACTCCCCAGTCTTGTCGTCAAGTGGCGCAAGTGAAAAAAAACTCACTCGAATGACAGTTCCACAATCAGAGGATACTGTTGGAGGTGGGAAGGTAATACTAATCTGCTTTGCATTTTCCACAACCTAAATTTAACACTATTATTAATACCATAAACCAGAAGCCTAATGGTGAAATAAAGTTTCCCAACATAAATTTTGATAAGTGACCTGATAAGAATTGTAACGCTGGAACCACGGATGAGTTATTGATTACCATTATTTGTTATTATTTTCTGAACGTTGCTTTGGCGCATTGAGTAAACGGCACACTAAGCAATGTTTTATAGATGTGGGATGTAAAAGGTTAATGACGTTACCCGTAGCATTCTAGCTTTTCCATCAAAAAAGAAAGAAAATATGAGCCAACAAAGCCGCATACCAGATAGAGCTATTTTAGCACCGTTTTTTATTTTCAAGGAATGAAAACAATTGATTTGTTGACAAGTCCACCTGTGAGCAAGTCGAGAATCGCTCAGCAGCATAGATGGCGCCAGTGTACGGTTCTTTGGTGTTCACAATGAACCGAATACCTTCATTGGTGCATAGAGCCATGCCGCCGAACTGCGATTCTAGACAAAATGGAAGTAGCATGCAACGGATAACTGATAAGTTAGATCTAGAATTTCAGTCGATCCACAATATATCTTGGGTTCACGACTATTGATTTTGTGAAAACAATGCTGCCCACCACAGTTAAATTCATAGTAGTCCATCGCTGTATTTGCTTTGATATTAGCATCACTACGGCCAACTGCGTAGATGAAACAGGTAGAAGCAGTTCTGTAATGTAGAGCTCTAAAATGAAATTCCGAAGAATATAGGGAGCACGAAATGTAAAGATATGTTCGAAAACGTTGTAAACTGTAGGCTCGAAACTTTTGAGAAAAGCCGCTAACAGCTCTCGCTTATCACTGCAGCACAGACTTGTTGCACGGAACATTCAATATTGGGAAAGTAGGCTTTAATTGTCTCACAGTCAACGTGAACTTGACAGTGAGCACCAAATCCTTTGAAAAAAAAGACCCGAATCGGATGTTTATCTTGAAAAAACTGTCGAGCAGCGTCGGTTTTGACAATCTTCGTCTCATGCATTCCAACAAAAAGTTATGAAAAACACGAAGTCGAAATGCTCTATAGATAGAAACATGCAGGTAAGATCACAGCTTATACATGACTACAACTTCGATACTATGATTGGTCGTGATCAAAAAAAACAAATAGGGTTATCCGAGTTCAATAATCGGTAGTATCAAGACTATTTTTGGTGATGCACAGCTTTAGAAGCTCTTCAGATTTAACACTGTGAGTGTGGTGACCTAGTGGAGTTTCTCATAACGAAGCAGACCAAGGCATGGTAAATCGAACCTTTGGATTAGTAGATGTTACAGTTTTCTTGAAGTTTTGGAGAAATTAGACAAACACATCGTTTTTGTAAGATTTGATCCTTTGCAGTAAGGATAAAAAGTGATGAAACTCTAGAAACGAAATCGTAGAGCCACGAGAAATTAGGAACTATTCTCTTCTGCTGGCTTTAGGGAAGATATCGCCGTTGATAACATCGCTAAGAAGCACGACCGAGTCATCCAACATATTCATGTAGTGCTAGAAAGTGAGAGTTAGCTCTCAGGCGAAAATGGCTAGTGACTCCAGAAACTCTCGACCTCTTACGCGTAAGTAAAGTCACACAGTCACAATTGTGAGCACCAATTATTCACATTGGTGAAACTGCAGGACTCGAATAGGAAATAGCTGAAGAACTATGCAAAGAAGTGAAAAATGTAAGAACGCAATCCTAGAAGTATTGGTCGAAATTGCAAGAAACTAAAAGAAGATTTGCAAAGGCGGGCAAAACCTTAATTACGCAACAAAGATTGTCGCGATCTGGCTCAAAGGTGGTACACTTACTGCTTCCAACAAGGACAGTGAGAAGAAAATCAGGCATTCGACATTCATGCCCATCTGCTCTTAGAGCACTACATGATGCCTGAATTTATCGTCTGAGCAGTTTTCCCAAACCATGTTCGATATCTCGTTTTCTCTGTAAAAAGGACTCGGCGCTTGATCACAATAGGATAAGAGACCAAGACTTGAAGAAGATGCTCCAGTAGTTGCTAAAGGATTGACCACATCGTAGGTGTCGAAATATAACGTCGTTATTGAAATAAAGAAAACTTTGTTTCTTTACAGAATGAGAACAATACACTAATTTTTTAACTATTTTGACTTTAACTGCCCTACTAGTTTGCATCCATCGTTTATAAGCCGTTTTCCAAAGTAACTATCTGTAGGTTTGGCGGCACATCGCAACTATGAAAAAAGTAATGCGAAGACTTGAAAGCCTAGGCATGGGAGGGAATGTTGACCACTGGCAGTAATAACTCGTCACTTTGCTAATGATATTTTTATCACAACACCAAGAATTAGACAAATCGAAGCAATGCTTAGTGATTTCGTCCTTGGGTGAACCAAGAAACCTGTACTTATAAAGAGAGGATTATTTCTCATTCCCCTCATTCACTTTCAGATGAATGAAGAACCTTGAGTTCTCCAGGTGTGTATGTGTTTCACCGGATTGGAGTGAGACTTTATATATATATATACATATTTACATGTATATGTATGCATATATGCATATATATAACTATGCACGTATATATGTATTGACAGATGTGCAATATTAACTCGTTGCATAGGCGAAATTTAACTGTGAGAAGAAATTCTTCACCTGTCGTAGTTGATACTCTTACAGTTAAGATTCTGAAAGCAGAGTGAGATGCAGTCAGCTATAGTCACACCCTGAGCCGATGCGACAATCTGCAATTTGAATAAAAATAAAGGGTTTCTTTTTCATCACTACGAATGTCACCTAACTATATATTAAACGTAAAAAAATCAAAAAAGGAATAGAATAGATTTGTGAAAACATATGAGGCCGGTGTTATGTGTTCAAGGAATGGTTTGAGAACTACTAACCTCTCCTTCGATCGACGAGCCGATGAATCGCTCGAAGGCCGACTGCTGACGGCACGTCGATGATGATAAATCGGCTATGATAATGTATTGAAGCATTTAAAACGAAAGTATTCTAACTATAACATTCAAATGATAACTTTTCTCCCTCCCTTCACTTTCCTTTTTTCTCTTCATTTTTCTGCGCTAAATTTTATGTTAATGCAACTTAAATGAGCAACAGGTGCAGCGTGTTTGTGCGCCAATCATTTTCATAGTTCCAATGTCCATAAGCCAACACCAGGTTTCACTCGATGTTAAAATTTTTGCCGTACAGTTGTACATATTACGTTTCAGTTGTGGTTTCATGACTCGGCATACGAATGAGGTGAAGGCCGTGCAATCGCATTATCTCCCAATCTCATCATTCCTGCCCCACCTTCCAACACCTAATATCCTCTATGCAGAGACTAATGTTCTTGTGTCGTCATTTGTGTCAAGAAAGAAAAATTTTGCAAAAGGTGAAAGTACAGCAAATGAAAACTCGTATCCAAAGAATCAGAGACAAGATTACACGAATTCTTTGCATGAAAAGTAACAACTATCATTAGAATAACTGGAATACTTTGAAACGTTCCCAAAAAAATGCCAAAATGCGTGTCGAAGCTCAATAGAAAAATCTGGAAACTGCAATGACAATAAGTTTTCTTCTTGTAGTGGATTCGTAGTCGCGTCAAACAGAACTTTTTTAAATCCAAGACATTTTCTACATAAATTATCGGATGTTCCTCAACAACAAAGACTACTTAGATGGCGGCGAAATAAAGCTCTGTGGGAAGTCTCTGCTCACCTTCAAACACTTATGATTTTAATATGAAAGTTAACCCCAAAACTACTAGTCCCCTTATCATCTGGGCGCTAATGCCGAATTTTTAGGTCGTTTTCACTAGAGCGGAAGCGGGGATGAGTCACGTGGGAAGGCGCCTGACCCATATAGGTATTTTGGAACGTACGACCGTTTTCTAAATGGGACATCTTCTATTCGAGACCAATCGCTAGCCTTAGGTCCACTTCAGTTATTTTAGGTGATATCTAGTAGACTACATGTTTTGGGAAGCGACTGGAAAATCGCAAAAGTGAAATCGTATCATCATTCAAAACTGGAATGCAATGAAGAGGTTTTGCATCATTCGAAGTTCCAAAAATTGAGAGACCGTAAATTTACCACACTAATTTTAGAGGCACATTTTCCATTTTCAATACAATCGTACCTGCGACACAGATGGGTTCATAGTAGTCTTTGCCAACAATTTGTCCTTGTTGATCAGCTCGTGAGAATGTATCCTCGTCGGACACGATGCAGTTTTTTTCGGATGGGTTGAACTCGACCGATCTGTGAAAAATGCCTTTATTAGCAGTAATTACTTTTATTACCTATAGCCACGTTAATCACTGGAAGAGTAGAATGGGCTGTCCACCTATGCTTATTGTGAGCGCGATCTGATAGTTGAGCACTGACAGTGCGAGAGACAGATTTAAGACAGTGGTGATGCTTGAAAGTCGAAGTTTTAACTTCTATTCATTACACGTCTTATCTGATTACATAAATGATTTTACCTGCAGAAAGTATTTAGGGAATCGAGGCATTTCTGAAGACAATATGACTCTTGGGCTTCAACGGACTGTGTGTGATCATAGAACTTGATTTCGAAATTCGTAGTTTTCACGAATACCAGATTTCCACCGGATGGGCCGCAACGGTTCTGACCTACAAGGGATGGCTATCATATAATCCGCTAGTTTATCATTTCTCCATCACTTCTAATACAACATCTGCACTTCGAAAGTAGATGAAGAAAAGCAATTTTGAGAAATCTAAACCAACGGGAAAGACAGTTATTGTCGAAGTAATCGATAGCGCCTTCAGCCATTCGAAGGTGGGTTGGCTTTGATCTACAAGAAATGGGTAGGCTCATAACATAAAACAGTTTGCTCTTAAGTAGAAAAATTTCTTCGATGGAGTATTCCTAGAATTCTAACCTCCTGTCTTCGGTGCTTAATTCACAGAGATAGGAATCATAATTGTAGTTGACGGAGCGACATACGAAGTCTTTTTCTTTCAGGCAAGTAGACAAGCACTGCTCCCGATTAGTGACCTTAAAAAGACCACTCCTGTAGGTGAATTTTTCAGAAGGATTCTTTTAAGAAGTTTGTCTATCACTTTCACTAAACCTGCTTATGTTTAGGCTGCGTAGATTATTAAGCTTTACAACTAAGATATTGTTATCACGACTGAGAATTTTTTCTGAAAGGCCTTCTCTCAGACTTTCAATAAATTTACCAGTATTTGTATTAATGCAATCACTATACGTGTTTTATTATTCTACCCACAACTAACATAAAATAACACTAAACCTTAATTTATACTTCTTTCTTTAAACTCACCTCGGCACACCAGGCAAGCACATTGGCTAAACCGGCAAAACTCCTAAATATCGTAGGTTATGTTGGAGCTAGCCCAATCAGTGGGTACGGGCCATCCAAGTAACCAAGTATCTTTAAATTCAACAAATCTATCCACTAACCGTTAGTTCCTTCCTAAAGGAAAAAAAATTCCCATCGCTACCAGCTTTGCAAATACATTTCTCAAAAGTGGCAGAAAAGATGATGATATTGAGCAGCAAGTGATGTCCTTCGTGCTATTCTGTGAAACTACGTCATTTCCTTTTTTTCCAAAATAGTTCTTCGCTCCTCTTTTTCTTCTGTGGTAACCGATGCGAAATGTTGACAGGAAGATTCGCCACTTCGCACGACACATTGACCTCAATACCCTGCGATGAATCTCGTTTTCTATTGCACCGTTACTCCAACAACGATTTCCTGCTAAGATACAAGATATCTTTAGCAGACTACCATAATATGATCGAAGCACTCAAGGCCATCGGCTCGGCTCCAGATAGAGAAAAATGCTGTAAAAATTGAACAACTGCCAAATATTTCACTGGTTAAAATTTAATTCCAGTAAGGATGCTGTTTCTCTCGATAGAAATGAAGCAGAAAATATTTTCGAGGTATCCCTCCATAACGCTTCGGACGATGCAGCGACGAAGGAAATCATTCTTATCACGAAAGTTTTTCATCGATTGCACTTGTTTTATCTTTTAAAGTTCCTACACCATCTTTTTGATTAAGGCCTAGGTTTACAACATGTTGATCTTTCTCAATTCATTCCGTGTTGAATTTGGACCGTAACGAAGTTAGCGCAGCTATCAGAGATGTTCTGCAATACGCACACGGTCCTTGTTTCGACCTCATCTCGGACAAACACCACGCTTTCCACTATCCCAAGGTCGGAGAATAGGGAATGGGAAAAATACCATGATTCAGAAAAAACAGCGACTAATTGCCGGATTTCGGAATTCAGAGGAGAATGATGTTTAATCACCAACATTTATGAAGAAAACCAAATTTTCAAAATGTAGTTGAATCCGTATGAAAATTCCAGAATCTCCGCGAATGATGTGTGTAAGACAATGAATCGAGTGAAAGAAATAGAGGCAGTACAGTGAAGATCCATGAAGATAAAGTCATGCAAAACAAAATAAAACACAAAAAATTCCATTGAAATAAGCTCATAGAAAAAACAATTCGAGCAACTTTTTCGCGAACTTGAACATGGACAAAGGAAGAGTTTAGCCAAGGAACTGTTACTCATAACGCTGTACAACATTCGACTCAACAAGTCACGACTCAACACTCAACATTCAACAACAAGTCGTGAGGACAACATTTCTGAAGACGGAGAGGGCTTGGAACAACCTGGACCACAAATGGAGCAGATCTGAGGCTATTGCTAACAATTGTCACCTTGTGAAAAGCATGCTTCGAAAAGCCACCTTTGATAAAGCAATGCTTAAGAGGGGCAGGTCTAGAGGGATCGGCAGTGATAACTGAAAAACCACCGGATTCTTTTTGTCGTCAGTTAGTTTGTAACCGCCTGTGTGACCGTCAATGTGAAACACAAAATTGTGTTTTCTTCCCTTATGGCGATGGATGGAAAGAACAGCAGAGTGGACTCCAAGAAAATGCAAACGTCTCCTTGGACGACTATCTACACGTTGGGCGGAGCTGTTCGTAAACAAAGTTAATCAGCTGTACCCGCAACTGCAGTTGTTTTACAGATCACGGTATGAGACTCGCAAGCGCTACCATGGTCGAACAAGGCCACCACCATGGACTAATTGCGAGTGGAAGGAACGAATAGCATATGTGCTGGGGTCTGCACAGCTCGTGAAGACGGACCGTCGAAGTACCCAAGTAAGTAAGTATGGAGAGGAGGAGAACGGTGACTGTCTTCAGGTACGATATCACTGATCACTTCTAATATTTGCGGAGATGAATATATTGGTGAAAGGGGCATGTATCCGTATAAAAGGATGTATACCTTGATGGCAAACGAAAAAGAAGACAGACTACCTCACTAGAAGCACATAGGACACAAAAGCATACTGGAGACGATGTCGATATAAAATTACAATACTCGCACACGATGCCAAAACACCAACGCGCAAAATTCTTCAGGCTCTTTGGATAAATGCCGACTGCCCTAGAATATATGGAGGAATGTCCAATGACATCATGTGATCTTGCCCGTATTTTCGCGGTGATTTTTTTGCGGGGTGGTACACTCACCAACCACATACGATTCTAATCAGGTGTTCATCCTTAGCAGAAGCACGTAAAAAACGGTGTATTTATCGAAAAGCTGTTGATCATGAGATTACCATGCAGATTTTCATCTTTTCGTTCGTGTTTTCGAAGCGTTTAGCATAATAAATTGTGCATCATTTCAGCATAGCCTTCCAGACTCAGAAAAAGACGAAATAGATCGAAACGTCAACTTTATAGGAATAAAGAATAGAGCCGCACTTCTAGTTTGCTCAATAAGAATATCGAGAATTATTTGATCAGGGCCGAGGTTAATAAGAAGTCAGTCGTGGGGATTGCCACTTCTTCAAACAACAGGACTTCGTCGACTATAGAAGATGTAGAATTTTCGTGATGGAAATGCTAAACCAGTACCTCGCTGGAAAATGTTTGATTCTCAAGACCGACTTTCCTTTTAATTTCGGCATTGATCAATAGTCTACTTTTTCCTCGATGAACAAATAGGAGGCTGTTATTGCAGCCCTCGGCGTTAATCAATCCCTGGGGGATGTGCCAAGTATTCGCCTTCATTAAACATTGTTAGAGGTGATTGGATGCATATCTAGCCTACACAATAACTCAGTTTGGCTTGCCAATGTAACGAGTCAGTGCTTCTATCTTAACGAAGAAGCCTGGTACCTATTTGTTCAGTCCAAAGATATGGAAGGCTTGGTGAACCTGGGGCGCAGGGTCGAATCCACGTGATTGCAGGGCATCCCTAACTATTGCACTGCACTCGTCCTATTTTTGTTACAGCACTTATTAATTCACATCAGCACATGAATAAAAATTTATGCATTATGTTTTATCTGTTGAGGTCATGAAAGTGTTGGTTGAGTAGATTACATGTCAATTTGCTCTTCTAGGATCTGAAGGAGGCGAAACCGCCGAAATATTAGCTATTTTGAAAAATGCCGTTATGACAACAACGTCCTTGGTTATTAGGAAAAAGAGAAGTTTAAATCTACTCCTAAGCTTACTATTAGCTGATATACATATATTTATGGAGAGAGAGACAGAGTTGAAGACTAAAACGTGGGTTCTTAGAGAGAGGGAGAGAGGGTGGAGAGGAGGGAGAGGGAGGAGAGAGAGAGTAGTTTAAGATCAGAAAGCGGATTCTTCTTTGGAAAGCCAATTAGTATCCTTTATTATTCAATTAAGGTGAGGAAAATTTAGACGTTGGCTTTATTTTAAAACTGGCTCTTCTAGAAAAAGACTCTTCTGTGGTCAGAAATTTTCTTCATTTTTAGACATATCCTTACGAACCTGCACACTTCTTTTGACAAATCCTTCCAAAACAGTTTTACGCATTCGTTCAAACGAAAACGAACGATAAGTGCAAGCCTCGTGAGCAGAAACTCCAGGCAGACATGTCTTCTCATAGTAGAAATTGTTCGCTGAGGGATTCGCTGTTAGCTGGCTCGTCCCTGCAGTTAGTTTAACATAGTTCTATGTGTCATTTCTCTGACGCGAAGCAAACTCCATACTGGAAAACCACATCGCTAACCGATAGGAGTCTGATTCCCGTAATTTTTGTCCTATAGGAATCGTATAGCCAGATTCAACACATGTATAACAAATAAACTATTGAGGATTCTACAAAACCACCTGCTGGTGAAGCAGCATCGTCAAAGAAATAGCAAGTCTCACGACCGTCGAAGTTGAACGAAGCGCAGACTCGCTGAGCACCGGTGGTGGGTTCGATGTTGTTGCGACAATATTGGGCGCAGGTGAGATCGTGACCTGAACACGGCGTTCACCGGCGTGTGTAGAAAAAGACGCACAATTAGAACATATAGAACGGTCTCATAAAATGTAACTCTTTCAAAATATTTCGAAACCGACTTTCCTTTAGCCTCGGTATGACTAACCAATATGCGTTCTTTGCTTGATAACCTTACACAAGGTTAAATATCTTTCAAAATAGTTTGGAAACATGATATTAAACTGCCGATGCATTCTATTTAGCTTTACTAACATCTTATCAACCTACTGGTTCAAATTGGTGGGATCCGATTCTGAATCGTCTTGAATTCAAACACAAATGCAAATGGTATACGCAGTACTTAGTTGAATATGATATGCCTATGCATAGAAACATTTTTGTCATAATTTGGAAACAACTCGATCGAATAGATTTCTAAAAGCCTTTCTTTGCGCTTGGTTTCATTGTCACCTACTTTCTCGTCTGTAGTGTCAATTTCTTTTCGGAAAAGACAAATTAGTCGGAGAGAACGCGTACCGGCAGTGGAAACGACTACTGGTGTGCCATCCAGGCGTGCACGGGCTATACGAACGAACGCTGTCGTCTCTTGACTGGAGCACTCGAAAACGGCCAGGGCTGTGGAGCTCAATGCCAGCATAAGTGCTACTTGTAGCATGTCTGAAGCAAATAGCCAAAATTTTTCAAAAAATGAACCATTGAATGTGAGCAGTGAATGAAAGGTGGATTGACGACAACTGGGACACTCATGTTACAATTCTTCTGCTTCTGCTTATAGCTTAGCGATCAGAAGCACTCAAGTAACGGTTGTAAAGCTTAGGCCGTTGAAGGCAGAGAATAAAAAAATAATCCACTTAAAACCATGCATTTGACTAGGCCAAAATTTGTTGCGTCGATAGTGAAATTTCTTGCCTAATATTAAATACTTTTTCGTATTGATCAGCTCTACAGATCTTATGTGGATACTAATTCTACAATAGTCTAAGTTTGTGACAAGTAGTATCTTCGGGTTTATAATCGAACGCAGGCAAACAAATGGTTAGACAAAAATAAACGTTAAGAAAGTCTACGAAGAGCGAAAGAACAGTATGTTTTCTAAAAAGACATAAAACAGCGGAAATCAGAAAGTGAGATAACCGCGAGTGATCGTTACCTTGGCTATGCAGTGTCGCGAATAAGAAAGACCCCAATGCCGGTCGGCTTGCAACGAGGCGGACCCGCGCGTCCGCGCGGTGACGTTGTTCTTTCCTGAGCACCTTCGCAGAGAACCTTGACCTGGTTACCCCAAAAAGCACGATTGTCGTTCGCTCTCTAACGTCCCTCTGAGAACCCGTCGTGTACATTAATTTGTACATTAATGATTATCACAGTGCTAATGTATTCTTGTCACAACTTCTTAAGAATGAATGGAATTAACAAATAACAGGAAAAATTGTGGCCGGTGCCGCTATGACTACCATCTGAGAATATCCTTAATGACGACTCTCAGTAATACAGAACACTACTTCCGTCTAGCCCACCACATTTTAAAAAACTTAAGGCTTCTTCATACTTCTATTCTCTTTACGTGTTTCGTTTGCAAACAGTGTCGCTTTAATATAATCGATGAAGATTTCGTGGCCTCTTTTAAGTGAAAATAGGCTAGCTTCTTGATTGATTATATCATTGCTCCCCGTTTGGAAGGATTTATACTAGAACATAAAAGTATAAGGTTTTGACTCAGTAGCCATAAAACCAGATGTTCTCAGCTTTCATTTTGTAAAACGATAAAAGGATTTTACATTGCTCAGTTCTTGAGAAGCCATGCATTCGACTTCATGAAGCATCGTGAAGATAAAAATGCATATCTGACCTATACAATGACTTACGGTAGCCTGTATCAAATCAGCGACTCTATCCTCTCAGGCAAGTTTGCTACCAATTTTCCAACACTGGAAGCATCGAAAGCTTGGTGAGCTCGTGTCACGGCATCGAACCGGAAACCACGTGAACATTGCTATGAATTGTTGCCAGTGCACTACACGCATCCTTTAACTATGTGCAGTGCCGAAAATTCTTGAGCACTCTAGTAGCTGTTAACTAAATCATCGATGTAGTATTATGCTAACGATTCTGCGCGACAAAACAGAGGTCAAGCAACTGCACAATTGCCTTATTGTTTTCACTGATTTCGTTATGAATGAGCCTATCGTGGACTGGAGATTACTACGACGAATCGCACGGATGTAAAAAAAAAACTAGGGCGCGATTAAAGATAGCGAATTCAGTTTGTTGCATCACTTACGAGTTGTCAATCAACTAACCGCGTAATTTTCTGCCATCACAGAAATCGTTGACGTCGTCGATGAATCGGAGACTCAGGGCAACAAATTTCCATCGAACCTACATGGGTCTGCTGCCTTCTGTGATGACGACCTGAGAGCCCCTAACCCATAGCAGGGTTTACTAGAATTACTAGAAAAAGTTACGCTGGATCAGTAGCTAGCGAGTTAATGAGAAAGGATAGGAAGCCTCACTTTACAACCGGAGCCACACCTGAACAGCTTCCACAGGCGATGGATGTATGAAAATTAAATGAATAGAAAAAGTGCTGTGACCTGCCCGATGTCTTTTTCGCCTTTATCACATGAGAATTCGATCTAGACATAAGTTGGAAAAAATTCATCTCATCTAGGAAGAAGAAAAAGACCAGCTGTATACTATGAGAACATTTTGAACGAAATCATAGCCAGACGTGACTGGTGGATTAAAAAAGGCCTCAGCTGAAGACAACAAGCTGATTGTCAAAGAAAAAAGAAGTTTTGAGTTGTGCCGAATTAGCCTCAGTTCTTCAAGTAAGAAGATGAGGTTGCATCTCCATTATCGCAAAGGAGTTGCTCGAGAAAAGCAGGAAAGCGAAGCTTCATCCTACCGAAACATGCTTAACATGACAAACAATAAATGCCACTTATAGGAGAGCTTGGCAAAAACGTATTATTGATAAACAAAAAAAGCTGTAGCAAGCAGCTCGAAAACGCTACAATGTGAAGTGCCTTCGGGTTCCTTGCGGTTCCAATGTTCCACAATCTGCTCTTGTGAACGAGCATGGCATCACTAAAACTTTCCACCACGACATGGAATTTTTAACTGGAAAGTTTTTTACCAACATTTTACGTTCTGTAATCCCGGTTTTTGGCCTAAAATCTACGTTGGTAGAAAACCGCCTAGACTTCCTTCCTCTGAGGTTTACGTTGTGATACAATCCTGAAAGCAGACACTGCTACAGGGCTCGATAATACAACAGCCGACTTTCTCAGAGCTGGAAGCTACAATTTCTATGTGCTTTCCACAAACCATATGACATCCTATCTTTAAAAGGAAAAAGTCTTAGTTCGGTGGAGGATGTCACAAGCGCTCATTCTGCACGTGGAAGGTAAACGAAGACATCTCCCTAGCTATCGCCCGATATGCTTGTTGAGTATACTGTACAAACTCTTTAGGAAGATTACCCTTTCGAGCATACCAAGAACATTGGATGAGGGGCAACTAGTACAGCAAGCAGGATTTCGGCAAGAATTTCGCTGCACAGACCGCATCCGAGCCGTGTCCAGTGTCAATAAAGTTTTTCAGGAGTACACCCCTCCAAAACTTTACTTTTGTCGACTAAGAAAAAGCGTTTCACACTGTTGCAACGAATTCAGTCCTATCACGGCTACGTAGTAGACCTCTCTTACATATAAATTATATTTGACTGTTATCGAAACTGTACTACGAAAAACAAGTTTATCCATCGACCGCTTGCTATGCCCATAGGAAAAGGTGTTCGACAGGGCAAAACCATGTCGTCACTCATCACCATACCGTTTATTACCGCACTGCAGAGATTGTTGAAGTCATTTGGTGGAAATGAAAAACACAAAGGTAACGATGGAAAATTCCTATTAAATCTCTATTTCTCTGACGACATCATCAAAAAAAAGATCGGACTACGCATAAATTGGAAGAGGATATGGTTCATGGAAACCCATGGCGCGAAGGCGAACAGGTCAAACTGGATCGCTTTCTGATTAAGAGATCACTTTCCGTGTTTACCTAAAACGTTCAATGAACATACAGAACAAAACGAAGGAAGAGTCAAACGAACGAAAGCGCTATGGGCCGCATTCGAGCCTCTCAGGGAAACCACCAACCTATTAAAGGACCCGAGAATCAGTGCTCTCCTTTTCGTTTCAACAGTCTTGTCAGAACTCTGTTATGGGCAGAGACATCTGTAGATGCTTTAATTACGTCAACAACACCGAATCGCAGAAGCGAATCCAAATGAAGCTCCAAATTTTGCTCATATCTCAGCGACTTCATTGTTATATTTCACATCTTGTCTTGCCATGCAAAAGAGTTGGTAGTAACTGAAAGTTAGGGCACTAAAACTCAATAAAAAAGATAAAGGATAAAAAAGATAAAAGATAAAGAAAAAGATAAAGCTCTAAGCGCTGGTCAATCTCTGAGGGATGCGCCATGCATTCGAGTTCATTAAACATTGTTGGAGGTGACTGAATGCATATCTGGCATTTACAGTGACTCACGGTGGCCTGCCGATGTATCGAACCAGCGCTGCTTTCCTCCCAGAAAAGTCTGGCAATAATTTACCAACCCCGGAAGAATGGAAGGCTTGGTGAACCATGGGCGTGGAAATCGTCTCCGTGTGTGTTGTAGGGTGGCTCGGAGCACTACGCCACACGCGCATTTTGAAACTCAAGGTGAGTTGTAAACCACTTCCAATCGCTGAAGGCAATGGGTGTGGATAGTGATCAATAGTAAAATGTAGCATATAGCAACAACGTGATGTCTCTAGATTAATGAAGCAAAACCTCTTCAATAACTTGGGTTCTCAATTTGATAAGTACTCTGGTTGCTGAGAATTTACCTTTTATTGTTGAAACAATCAGAATTCATCCATACGAATACGAATTTGCCGTCTTCTTTTTTCGACCTCAGCGAAATCAATGGTGGCCGCATATATAAGAAGAAAATGTCCGCGTTAAAAATGTTAAACTGCCCATTTTGTCAGATCTGATCCAGTTATGAAGTCTGTAATTTGCACTTTGTACAAAATTTTTGGGCTTTGTAGCATGAAAAACGTGAAAAACAAAAAATAATTCAGATATGGATGTCAAGCAGCTCAGAGGGTTTGAAAAATCGATGTGATACCCTTTTGAGTATTGAATCGCTAACCATCGTATGCTATAACGTTGTTCTTAAAAGTTTTGTGATGAATGTGACATCCGGAAAGACTAACCACGGCTTGATCTGGCATGCTGTCAAAGTTTTTCAAATATCTCAAAATCAGAAAACATGAAGGCTTTGAAGATGGTGGGTCAAAGATGATATACCCTATAAACGGCAACAAACTGAAGACTTTAGCTGAAGCAGATCCCCCATAACGGGTTTGAGTGCTAACGTAATAATGAAGGCCAAATTAAGAAATCGTTAAGTTAAGAAGAATCCAAAAGGTGAGCGCGGATTTTCGGGTCTTTCTGCCGGATGATGGTTTTTTGAGAGGCCTGAGTGCGGCTCCAGCTCCTCTACTTCTTTTTTTTAATTCCTCCTTCACGTTACTCTCTGTATATTGAACGCTCAGGTGTACGCACAAACTGGTCTCTGCAATAAAAGAACTATCTAGTTTGACCTCTTACCTCTCTTCTCATCCACCACACATGAAAAAAGCACTCATTAAAAACATGTACCGAACGGCTAGAAATGTGTGCACAGGAAAAGAGGAATGGAAGGAATCGCTAAACCTGGCACGAAAAATAGCCATTTCCAAAGAAAGAGAAGCCACTCGCGTCAGAGGAAAACGTAGGGTTGTTCCCCAAAATAATGTTTCGCGAGTAAGTTCTTTTTTAGATGCCCTTCATATCAAATGAAATAAGTTACTCCTTTAAAAGGTGGTTGAGAAACAGTGATCTGCAAAATTATGCAGCGATTATTGACCTTCCACTCAATACCCTACGCCGTCAGTTAGTTCGAAACATCATTTATGATCATTCGGTGCAGTTCAAAACTGTATGATCTGTACCAACGGGAGAGACCGGGATTGCATGAGTTCAACTACAACATACTTGATATTATGTATGGCATGTGGAGAGGAATGCATTAGGGAAACAGATAGACAACTTTGTGTCTGCATAAAAGAACACCTAGATGGGAAAGTTAAAATTCTTCAAAGCACTCCACTAGGTACTCATAGAGCACAAAAGCACAATGGCAATGATTTCGAAGTGAGTCTTCGTATTCTTGTTGAGCAAACGAGACGTGTTATTTTATTCTTTGTTAACAAACAAGCTGACGTTTCGGCGGATTTCAACTTCCTCAGAACCTGAAAAGGTCAAGTTGACAGCAATCTGTACGCCCAAACATCTCCATAGCCAAACAGAGAAAACGCTAAACGAAGATTTCAATCACATTGAACACAGAATAGCTTCTTTGCACATTCACCGATTTCTATGAACCTTCCACTAAGTATGTCGGGTGAAGACCCACCGGCACAGAATTCACATAGAAGCGTAATGTGCTCCTCGCATCAGAATAACAGGCTTATATACTGCCCAATATCACGCATGATAATGAGGCATCTTCCTCTGCGGTTCATTTTCGAATTTTTGGAATTAATCCAGAACGCCTCGAGAGTTTTGCGCGCTTGCGTTCTTGTTTCCTGTGCGAGCGACCCGTACTTCAAAGTCCTCCCCAATATGTCTCTGGGTCCTATTCGTCTCATTCCTGGACGTGCAAATTAATCTATCAGAAAATTGCTACATTACGAAGTGGTACCAAAAGCGAAATAGCGAAAGCACCTTGGTTCATTACCTCTTCTCTCACTCCTCTCACACGGAAGGAGCACTTGTAAGAAACATGTTTCGAACAGCAACCAACGTGTGCACGGGTAGAGAGCGAAGAAAGGAGTCCCAAAACTTGACACGGCAAATGGTCATTTTTAATGGCTACGAAACTGTAGCTCGCGATAGGTCTAGCGGAAATTCTAGGCCTCCCAACGACAACTCTAGCGATAAAAGGGTCCATTTATCCTATCCTTCGTCATCAAATGATGTAAGTGAAACTATAAAACGCTGCTTAAGAAGGGTGGATCTAGAAAATTCGGTGAACGTAGTCGAAATGCCACTGAGTACTCTTAGGAGCCTGCCAGTTCGTAACCGCCTATACGACCGTCTATATGCAACGCAAAACTGTAATTTGCCCTAACGGTAGGGACAGTTATTGCATGAGCTCGGGTACAGTTTGTCTGATCTTCTGTAAAGCGTGCGGGAACGAATACATTGGCTAAACGGGTAGACCCCTCTGTGTCCGCATAAAAGAAAACCTAGCCGGCAGACGTACACCAAATACCCCAGACACGCATAGGATCTAGGGACATAACGGGGAGGACTTTGAAGTACGTGTCACGATCCTCGCACAGGAATCGAGAACACAAGCGCACAAAACTAAAGGCATTCTGGATTAATTCCAAGAATTCGAAAATGAACCGCAGGGAGGAATGCCTCATTATCACGTGTGATATTGGACAATATATAAACCTGTTATTCTGATGCGAGGAGTACATTATGCTTCCATATGAATTCTGTGTGTGTTCTTCACGCGACATACTCAGTGGAAGTCTCATAGAAACCATGACTGTGCAAAGCTGTGTTCAATGTGATTGAAATCTTTGTTTGGCGTTTTCTCTGTTTGGTAATGGAGGCGTTTGGCGGAATAGATTCCTGCCAACTTGACCTTTCCAGGCTCTGAGGAAAGCGTAATCCGTCGGAACGTCAGCTTGTTCGCAAATAAAGAATAAAATAACACCTCGCGTTTGCTCAAAAAGAATACGAAGAATTGCTTGATCATGCCGAGGTTAATAGAAAGTCGGTCGTGGGATTTGAAGTGTGTCCGGATTGTGGTGCAGGAATCGAAAACATCAGCGCGCAAGACTCTTGAGGCGTTTTGGATAAATTTCAAAACTCCAAAGATGAACCGGCGAAACGAATGCCTTGCTATCACTCGTCACTTAGCACAATTTCAGCAAGTCGATTTTTTAAGCTGAGTGAATTTCATTCGGGATCCCACACTAACAATACATACTGCTGGTACTGCACCTAACAGAACGTTGAGTAGTTTGTTGGTCAATATGGCATTTATTTTAAAGCTTGATCATCATTAATACTGCAAATATTTCACCGAATATAAGACTACTGTTACATTACATACGTCTGGGCACTGAGGAAGGCGAACTTGCCGAAAAAAAAACGTTAGCCAACGACCAACCACACCAACAGCAACGACAAGAACGAAGACCTATGCCAACCTCACACCAGCTCAAAAAAATCAGTTTATAAGATCTTATAAATAAATTTATCTAGTTTAAACTAATCGCTGTCGCACTATGGGTTTTTTACGAGCTGGGTCTTCATCCGATTAATACCTATTTGGATCTTTTTTCCCACTTCATTGAGTTTATTGATAATCGTCTCTACTTCGTTGGTATTTATTGAGAAGAACATGATGCCTTGGGCAAAGCGAAAGTTTGATAGGAATTTTCCATCAACATCTGTGCATTTCCCATCACCATCGAGTGACTCAATATCCACTGCGGTACTGCTGGAAACAACTTTGACGATATGCTCTCGCCTTTTCTACCACCTTTTTTTATAAGCAAAGCAAGCGGTCGATGTAAAAGCCGTATTTTCGTAGTGTAGCTCCGATAACAGTCAATTAGATTTCTTCTATAAGGCGGATTCACCCAATCCTAGGTCAACGAGCGCTGGTACGATTGCATTCGTTTCGACAGTGTTAAACGTTTTTTCACAGTCGACAGAAGTATTGACTTGAGAGAGGTGGTACTCCTGAAAAACTTCAGTAACCCTGGACACGGTTTGGATGCGTTCTACGCAGTAAAATCCTTGTCAACACTCTGCTTTCTCCAGTGGTTGTTTCTCACCCATTGTTCTTGATACGCTCTATAGAAGAATCTTCGCAAAGAGCTTGTAGAGTGCACTTAATAAGCATATCGGACGATAGTTACGAGGATTCATCTGGGTACCTTTCTTGGGTCGGGTGACCATGCGCGACGTCCTCTACTGGTCTGGGAATTTCTTCTTTCGAAAATAGGTTGTAGCATGATTTGCGAAAAATGCATGCAAATTGTGGCCTCCAGCACTAAGAAAGTCGATGGTGATCTTATTGGGTTTGCAAGTATGCCTTTTTCATGTTTTCTATCGTAGTTCGAAACTCAGAGCGGGTATGTGCAAATAACATATCGGAGTATCCCAAGCTACCAGAAAACAATTTGCCTATATCAATTTTGAAAGTGTTAACAGTGCAAAAGATAATGTCGTCATCTGAGATATTGAAGCAGTCGGCGATTGACTGGAACAACTCGTCTATGGAGGTGAAGTTGAAGATGAACGCTGTGGGAGAACCATGCGCCAGTTGACAGAAAACTTCAGATTGAGAGCAACGACAGCTAGAGGACTGCACTCAGTTGCGTTTCCGACACTCCACGGTGGATGCAAAGGTTTCAGCAATCTTGTCGCCCTGTATGCTACTACGACATTAGCATCCAAATCCGTTCTCTTAAACATTGAAGCATCTTCGGGAAATTTCTTTGTTAATCCTGCCATAGCCCTCAGCTTTTTAATCGTGTCGAACAGTTCGGAGTGAACCACTGGTGGAATGCGCGCATTCAACGATTTGCTATCATCTGAAATATCGAGCGTGGCCTTGGATGGCAGTTCTGTGACCATTCCAGGTGGTGTGCAGATAGCAACAGTATTCGGATTTTTGAGAGCAACCACATCATGCGTTCCATTCCTTTCTTCATTGCCATCTTCTTTTTTCACACTCTTGTTTACCTTGTTCACGTCATTTGGGCTGGTGTCTATAAAAATTTCCGAGTCGAAGAAGAAGAGATCTGCAACAGAGTCCGATGAGAGCGTCGATGAGACTCGGGACAGTGCCGAACTGTCCATAGGCTCCGGTTCAGACGACGATCCTTTGGTGTCAGTTTGAGTTGGGACATTCGGCCGCTGTTTCTGTGCAATGGATGGATTCCATGGAAACCTTATTGCTTCCTTATAATCCTTAAGTGGAAGCGGTTTTCTAAACCAGGCACGGTTTACCGACTTCTACCGTCGTCGGGGTCGACTTCGTGATCCGAAAACTATGGCTCCGTGAAATCCTCTTAAAGCTATACTAGTGGCTAATCTTTTCTACTGACTTCTTTACCAATATGGCTTTGGGATACTACGGAAACAAGCGTCGTTCACGTTCTCGTACTATGAACCGCAACGCTTGAATGAGGGTCCCGCAGTGGACTTCGTTGCCGTGCACTCAAGGACTTCCAAACTCGGGCTCTGTACCAGGGAACAGTACATGTGAACTCTGCAATACTCCTTTATTTGCCACTAGGATACTCCTAGAATAGTCCTTTCGACTGCACGTTCGATAACGCGGAGTGACCTTTCATTCTGCTTACGCAGCGACCAGGTTTCTGAAGCATATGTTAGGGCAGAAAGTGCCGTTGAGTCGAAAACGTGCGCATGGAGTCGGGTGTTCTTTGTTCTCTTCACTACATCTTCGATGCTTTTGAAAGCTCTCCAGGCTGCTCGTTTCCTTCTGCTCAGCTTTGGAGCTCAGCCGTTCATCACATTGATTTCCCGATCTAGATAGACATAACTGGAGCATTCGGAGATATTGGCTCCGTTGAGAGTGAATGGGGCATGCGAAACCAATCCGTTCTTCATGAACATCGCTTTTGTGAGATTTAGCCGAAGACCAATCTTTCCACAGGCTTTATCAAAGTCGTCAAGCATACGTTTCGTTTGGCTAATATTTGGTGTTACAAGGACGATGTCATCAGCAAAGCGAAGATGGTGTAACTGCAGACGATCGGTTTTCACTTCCATATTATCTCATTCCAATGTTCGCATGACGTTCTGGAGCGTGGCGGTGAATAATTATGGGGAGATGGTGTCGCCTTGCCTAACCCCTCTTTTCTCGTCGTTGTTAATATAACTGTAGAATGGTGATACCTTGACCGTAAAATTTTTTTACAGCTCACGAAAAATTTTTATGTACTGAGCAGAGAGTAGCTTGACTTTCAAGGGCTTCCAAGACTGCTTTTATCTCAGCTGAATCAAAGGCCTTCCGTAAGTCGATGAAAGAGAGGCAGAGGGGTTCTTTTTACTTTCACGGTTCTTCAATGTGTCTTGTTATCGTGTGGATGTGGTCTATCGTAATAAATCCTTTTCGAAACCCTGCTTGCTTAGATGGTTGCCCTTCGTCCAGTGTTCTATCAAACCTGTTTAGGATCACTCGAGTTAAAAGTTTGTAGACGACAGACAGTAAGCACAGTGGTTGATAGTTGCCGATACCGTGCAGGTCACCTTTCTTGAACAATAACACGGTCTTGCTGGTCTTCCACTGAGTAGGGACCTCTTGTACTCAGACAGGTAACGTGTAAAGAGCCGAGCTAGTGTGTTTACGAGGACTGGCGGAAGGTTTTTTAGGTGTTGGGTTTTATCTTGTCCGGACCTGGTACTGTTCGATTGTTCACCGACGAAATGGCATATCGAATTTCGGAAGGAGAACAGGTGGTACAATATACCCATCCTCCTTTATTTCATATGACGGAAGGTGGACGTGGCTATCGAAGAGATCCGAGTAGTATTAGTGAATAACTTTTTCCATTGCCTTTCTGGACGCTGTAACTGTTCCGCCTGGGCGTTGGAGTTCAATCATTTTGGTCTTGTAATTGGTAAAGCTTCGGTGGGCTTTGCGAATGCTTTTCCCAGCCTCAGCAGCTCCTACCATTACTGCTGCTCTTCCCTCTTTAAGATCTTCTTTTACCGCTTGCCTGCTTTGTTTTGCAAGTTCGGACGTTAGTTCGCGGTTGCCTGCAGTTCGAGAGAATCCACGCTGGCGTATCAGCTTGAGTGTCTCTGGAGACAGACGTCTTTTGGTGACTTTCAAACTACTAGCTTTCATAGCGCTAACGTGAAGACGTTGAATGAGCCGATCGTATTTCTGGTCGATGCTATCGACAACGGCATTTTCCCAATAGAAATCTCCAATGATGACCTTGAAGAATGTGTGGTCTTCTCTGTAGAACTTTTCCAAGTCCATACAGAACGCTTTGATTTCTTCTTCGTCATAGTTCGATGTCGACGCGTAAACAACGCAGATCGTTAAAGCCGAAATTGTTCTACGGCTTTTTAATCGTGAACGTCCGAATCGGGTTGTAAGTTCTTCAAATGAATCGATGTTCATGGACAAACTCGTTTTGACGAGAACGCCGACGCCGCCGACTCCTCTACTGTCGCATGTTCCGAGGAACGGTTCTTCTCCGGTGACATAGACTGGTGTCTTCTCGTCTCGGCCAGGCCAATGACGTTGTACCTTATCCTTCTTGCTTGCATGAGGAAGTCTTCTATCGAGGACTCGGATGCAACTTTACTTGCATTATAGGTACAGATCGTCACCATAGCTCTTTAAAATCCAGGCAGCTTCCTTGCTCTGAAATTTTGACAGCCTCCCCGTACTCGTCATACTCAACGCTGAAAAATTGGGGACTCTTTCGGGGTCAGGGGAATAAAGCTCGTTTTTTTTTAAACTGTGTTTAGCATTTTTGATACCCACGTGTAGCTTGCTGGGCTCTGAACGTGGGAGCTGGGTATACTCACAGGTAGCTTGCCAATTTGTTGGAGGCGACTCCTAACCGCCTCCCATATACTTCACTCTCACTTGATTGCAGACTTTTAGCCGAATTCACTCATAGAATACAATCCGCATAAGCAAGAACGCACCCACACACGCATGCATGAATACGCCTAGCAAATACAGAAAGTCTGTGCCATATCAGCGCAGCAGAAACAGAGAGCCCATCCCCTGGATCCACCTGCGTCTCAGGAGAGCAAAAGGCGCTTTTGGTCCGTGATTAACCCCCTATCCGCCATCTGTGGACGCGCCACGTAGCCTCGCGACTAACCGGCTCGAAATCCCTCATATGAGGGAAATTCGTGGACTTTTCTCCTATACTATAAAAATCCTCTATTACTGCGATTCTTAGAGATGAATGTTTGAATGGCCTATTTTTGTGAAGATTTCGTTGGTTCCAGCACGTTTCCCGCTCGGCTGTTATGTTTCTGGTTTCCCGAAGAATTACATTTGAGCTTTTGGGAAAGTGGTTCTGAAGTGGAAGAATTGCCGCAAAACCGTCTACCGTGGATTAGAAAACCTTTACCAACTTGCTGCTAGGTTTCCCTACCAGAACGGTAGTGGTATTTGACAGCGATTAACTCTAGCAGTGTTTGCTTTCTTAATGCTCACTTAAAGAGTTAAATGGTTTAGAGACTATTCTCTGCCACGTACAGAATGTTCCGTATCTCTTTAAAGAATTCATAATCGCAGTCTTCTTGAACTAGCTCTATAACTTTTCATCATATTTGTGAGAGTACCTGCGGGTAGCACAGTAGCAGAGATAGCATTCAATGGTACACGCATGATCTCTTGCCTTGACAGCGGCCGGATCAACCAAGCCTTCCACCTCTATGGAGTCGAAAATCCGGTAGCAGACTATTCTGGTAGCCTCTCGCCGCTCCACGAGAGTAGTGAATACCATTGGTAAACACATGGAAGCAGCATAACCAGACTATTCCATGAATCCAGGGATAAATAGACCAGCACATTCATAGACAAAATCAACGTTTTTAAGCAGCAGCCGAGGGCACATTAATCTGAATTGATTCACGTATGGATGCGAAGAAAACAATCGAATAAAGTTCTGGGACATTCAAAATATATGATATCGGGTCAGATACAAAGAAAACAAACTACAAGGTACAAGAAATTAATGATACAGCAGTTTATTCATTGTTCCTTATCGCTATGTACCCTATCTCTGCTTGTTAATCGTATCTTGTTTATATAAAGGTTAATGTTCATTCTTTGGACTGGCTTTCTTTTAAACTCGACATTAACCAATATTACGCTTTTTTCTTGACAAGCAAACGCGACGTTCTTAACAGCAAGATTCATCCAGTACAATGCTGGATAACTTCTCAGCGGTTTAACCTTCTTCAGAGTCTGGGAGAGTCAAATCGACAAGCAGTCCACACTGTCAAACACCATCATAACCTTAGCAGACAAAACCTAATGCATATATGCTTATTCGCATAATGACCAGTTTTTCCTAAACACTTAGCCATTTTTTATTTTTAAATCCTCAAGCTACCATCCACCCGCACACTGTCTCACATAGGTGAAGACTCTGTATGGCTCAGGTCAAAAAATCGATCTGATATATGGCCTGAGATCACACGTGCTTATGAGGTATTTATTCTTGCGTTTACTTCTGAGGTTTTGGATTTTTGGAGTTTATCCAAAACGCCCCAAGACGTTTACGGACCAAAGTTTTAGGTTCCTGTACAAGGGTTATGGTATCTATTTCAATGTCTCTGTCATGTCTGTGGGGCCATTGCGCGCCCAGTGGAGCACTTTGTTTAACATTACTCTTGCCGTGTAGATGGTCTTTTATGTGGACTCTAAGTGGTCTGCCCGTTTAGCCAACGTATTCGGCTGCACACGCTTTACAAGAGATTAGGTCCACCGCACCCGAACTCATACAATCACCGTCCCTCTCGTTAGAGCAAATTGTGCAATTGCGCCTGGAGTCACCTCTTATTGAGATAGCTGGCATGCCTTTATCTAAATATCTTAAAATGAGGAAATGGACAATCTTTATGAGGAGTTCGTAGAAGATGCATGGAAAAGAAATCTAATTGTGCTCATGAAGACTCTTTTGTTTCTCGTTTTTTGTAATGGCTTCTTTTTTGATGGAAAGATTTATACTGCAACCTCCCACCGTTTTACCGCCTCATCGCGGCTGATTAGAATGTGCTCCCGGCCTGTGGGTTACGATGTGCATCGAGGAGATTCGTCTTTCCAGCAGGGTCTCCCAAGCTGAGAAGGA